CTAACAAAGGATGTGAAAGATCTCTATAAAGAGAACTATGAAACTCTAAGAAAAGAAATAGCTGAAAATGTTCACAAATGGAATATACAATTGTGGTAATTCTATATTTAACTTTTGGAGAACTACCAGAGAATTTTCCAAATTTTCTACATCATTTTACATTCCCACCTGCAGTATACAAGAATTTCAACTTCTCCATATCCTCACCAACACTTGATATTATCTTACATTTTTATTCTAATGGGTGAAAAGCATTACAGTATCTCATGATTTTTATTTGCATTTCTCTGATGGCTAAAAATGTTGAGGGTCTTTTCATGTGTTTGTAGATGATTTGTTTACTTTCCTTGGAAAAATGTCTATTTCATTCCTTTGCCTGATTTTGAATTGGTTTTTGGTTGTTGCTGTATTTGAGGTGTAAATGTTCTTTCTTTATATATTCTGGATATGAGACTCTTAGAAACATGATTTGCAAATATTTTCTCCCACTGAGTTTTCACTTTTTGACAAGGTTTTTGATGCACATTTTTATAAGTTTTATAATGTTCCATTTATGTACTTTTTCTTTGTTGTTTGTACTTTTGGTGTCATATTTAAGAATCCATTGTAAAAACCAAGGTCATAAAGATTGACCAGTATCCTTTCTTCGGAGGCTTTTAATGGTTTAAGCTCTTTTATTTAAATCTTTGATATAGGCCAGGCATGGTGGCTCACTCTTGTAATCCTAGCACACTGGGAGGCTGGACAGGTGGACAGCCTGAGCTTCAGGAGTTTGAGACCACTGTGAGCAAGAGCAAGACTCTGGTGGGCACCTGTAATTCCAGCTACTCAGGAGGCTGAGGCAGGAGGATTGTTTCAGCCCACATTTTGAGGTTGCTGTGAGCTAGGCTGACACTATGGTGCTCTACCCAGGGCCACAGAGTGAGACTCTATCTCAAAAAAAATCTTTGATATATTTTGAGATAATATTCACTTATTATGTGGGGTAGGGATCCAACTTCATTATTTTGCATGTGGGTATCCAATTGTCCAATCACCAATTGTTGAAAATTATTCTTTCCCCCATTTAGTAGTCTTGGTATTATTATCAAAAATCAATTGACCATAAATTTGTGGATTTACTTCTAGACTTTCAATTCTATTCTACTTTTAGTGTAAGGTAGTATTTGAAATCTAGTGTCTTGGTGCTACATGTGCTCACAGCTATTGGGGTATCACGTCTGGTCATTTTTGGTGGACAACATTAAGAAATATATGTATGTATACACGTACTTACGTATATCTGTGTATAATTTTTCCTGTGAAAAATATTTCATATTAGTACTTTTAATTTCAATCCATTATGGGGTTCATTTTACTCTTATCCCTTTCTCGTGTTCATAATTTTTTTCTCTGACACTGAGAAACTTAGCTCCCATTTTCCTCAATAGATTTATTAAAATTGCTCTATTTATTTGCTTAATATAACAGACTTCTGGCTGCCTCCTCACTCGAGGGCACTGGAGGAACACAATTTTCATTAGATTTTTCCCTGCCTTCATGCAGAAACCCCAGTCCTGATTTCTTAGCCATTAGACACTTTGACCCCTTCATGTATCCTCCCACCTCTCACATACCTACTCTACAAATTGCAACTCAGATTTTCAGATTAGAAAAAGAATTTCAAAATGCTACAACTCTCTCAATGTAAATAGTTCAGAAAGTAATGGAGAGAGAAGATGCTAAAGATACCTGAGGTAAGAAACACTGAAAGGGAATATATTTTAGATTTAAAACAATGAGTTCAGGTTTAGATGTATTAAATTTAATGTGCCATTAAGACAGCCAAGTGGAAGTGCCCAGCAGGCAGGTGGAAATTTAGGTCTGGAGTTCAGATAGAGGTATGGATGGAGATAATAGATTTGTATGTCACCTGCATAGAGGTAAGCAAAGATAGAAAAGCCTATGAATGAATTCAAGAAGGAATAGCCAGAGAAGGAAATAAACCAAAAAAGAATAGACTACCAGAAGCCAAGGAGGCAGATTTGAAAGAAGAGTGACCAGTTGTGTCAACATCGAGAGGTTCATTAAGAACAGGAAAAACATCGATTGACTTTCACTATGTGGAAGTCATTGTGTGTGACTTTGGAAGTAATGGTTTCAATGGAGTGATGTGGGCATATGTAAGAATGCAGTGAGTTAAGTGTATAGGAGATAAGAAAACAGAGAGTGAGAGAACAAGTATATTTTATTTCCATCAGAGTCCTATGATTGGAAATAATGAATCTGATGTCTAGGAAGGGATACAGAGAGTTGTGTAATGCAAAATTTTGTGTAAAGTTAAGCCAAATTGGTGCAGCTTGGAATATAATGGTAGGCCCCTTCACTTCACAGTTCCTTAGATGTTCAACACTTTTAAAGACTGAATACTGAGCTAAAAGCAACCATCTACACTAATCTTCATTTTATACTAAGAGAATGATAAACCCATAAAGGGAAAGGAACTTATGCTAAAGGTTTGCCTGTAAAAATATTCAAATTGTTTTCCTTCCCTCAAATTTTCTTTTTATTATTCTTTCCTAATTTCATAAAATAGGTACCAGACTTTCTAGTTCCTTACTTAAAACATAACTTTTTATGTTGCCATAAAGTAGAGACTTAAAGGAAATAGTAGAGACTCTCATATACCCTTTACCCAGTTTTCTCAGTAGTAAGGTCTTACATAACTGAAATACAACTTTTTTTTTTTAGACAGAGTCTCACTATGTCACCCTTGGTAGAGTGCCATGGCGTCCCAGCTCACAGTAACCTCAAACTCTTGGGTTTAAGTGATCCTCTTGCCTCAGCTTCCCAAGTAGCTGGGACTACAGCTGCCCGCCACACCACCTAGTGACTTTTTGTTATAGTTGTCATTGTTGTTTTAGCAGGCCTGGTTTGGGTTGGAACCCGCCAGCCCTGGTGTATGTGGCTGGCACCCTAACCACTGAGCATGGGTGCTGAGCCTGTAATATAACTTCATAACCAAGGTATTGACAATGGTATAACTAGACTAGACTTTATTCAGTTTCACAAAATTATACATGCATTCATTTGTGTATATGTTGGCCTACACAATTTTAGCATAGGTATAGACTCATTTACTTAATACCACAATTAAGATACAGAATTGTCCCATCAACACAAAGGAACTCCTTGTGTCTTCCCTTTAGAGTCCTCCAGTCACTATCACTGGCAATAATTAATCTGTTATTTAATTCTATGATTATGCCACTTAAGAATGTTATATAAATGCATTCAGAAAGTATATAACCTTTTGAGATGGGCTTTTTTCATTCACCATAACACCCCTGAGGCACATCTAAGTTGTATCAATACTTTCTTTCCATTTCAGGACATCTGGGTTGTTTCCAATTTTGGGCTATCACAAATGTAGCTGCTATGAGCATGTGTACAGGTTTTTGTGCCTATATATAGTTTTCATTTCTCTGGAATAAATGTCTAGGAGTTTTTTTTTTTTTTTTTTTAGACAGAGCCTCAAACTGTCCCCCTGGGTAGAGTGCCATGGCATCAAAGCTCACAGCAACCTCCAACTCCTGGGCTCAAGCGAGTCTCCTGCCTTAGCCTCCCAAGTAGCTGGGACCACAGGCGCCTGCCACAACACCCGGCTATTTTTTGGTTGCAGCCATCATTGTTGTTTGGCAGGCCCTGGCTGGATTTGAACCCGCCACCTTAGGTGTATGTGGCTGGTGCCTTAGCCACTTGAGCCACAGGCGCCGAGCCAATGTCTAGGAGTTTTGAGCACACTTTTCATATTTCAGATTGATCAGATATATGGTTTGCAAAAAAATTATCTCAATTTGTAGCTTGTTTTTTCCTCTTCTTCATTTTTTACAAAACAGAAGGTTCTAATTTTGATAAAGCCCAAAATATCAAATTGTTCCTAAGTTTTACAGTTTTACATATTACATTTAAATCCATGATATATTTTGAGTTACATTTTATATAAGATGATAGGTTTAGGTTAAGGTCCACTTTATTTATTTATTTAATTTATTTTAGCCTATAGGTATTCAATTGCTCCTCCATTGACTTGCTTTTTTACTTTGTCAAAATTAGTTGGACATATTCATGTGGGTTTATTTCTGGGGTTCTCTCTTCTGTTCCACTGATCTATGTGTCATTCACTTGCTAATACCATCTTGATTACTATAGCTTTGTATAAGTCTTGATGCTGGATAATGTGAGTCATCCAACTTTTTCTTCTTCAAAATTGATTTAGCTTAATTAATTTTATGCTGGATATTTTCATCTTCCCTATAGGGAAAGAAAATAGACACGAACTGTGGGAGATTATGGAAAATGTAACAATAACATTCTACAAGCCATATGGCAGTAGTTCTCAAATGTTAGTGTGCCTCAGAATCAGCTGCACACATGCAGATTTCCTTGTTCCACACCCAGAGACAAAGTTTGACCTCCAAATGATTCTGATACAGGTGGTTCCGGACTACACTTTGAAATATGAAAAACAACATCTAGGGAGAAATAGGAAGCAAAAGCAAAAACCAAAAACAATCTTAATTACTTTAATTTCTAGTGTGCAATAGTCCTCTTTTTTTTTTTTGCCTTCACAGAATTAAAAAGGCTAAATTTAATGACAATAACAATGTTTAACATAAGGACTGAGAACAAAAACCTCATAAAGAACAAATGAAGATAAATACATTCAGAAAAGAAATCAGATGATTGCTGAAACGAAACATTAAGCAATAATAATAGTAATAATGCAAAGAAAGTAACATTCATATTGTCAGATAGGAATATGTCTTATTATAGAATACTTTGATCAGTTAACTTCTTATTTTGTTTTCTCCAAAGTCTCAAAAAAATAGACAACTAATATTTATAAATAAAAGTAAAAGATAATTTCAAAAAAACAGATCATGCCAATATATTATTGGAGAAATAATATATTTTCTCCAATTTTAATATCAGGTGTATCCAGATTAAGTGAATGATTTTCAAGTATTTCTTTTTCTATTGTCTATTAGATTTGGCATGATCTGTAGTCCTGACTCTTTTGTGAAGATAGACTTACCATTTGTGTCTACTCATGATAAAAAATGAACTTTTTAAAGCATAACTTTTATTACATCCTACATGCTAAATGTTTCCGGAAAAACACGTATATAATATAATGGAAATTCCTAGGCAGATCAAATCTACTCAATAGGAATTCATGTCAGAGTCAAATACGCTAGAACTCACCTGTCTGGTTAAAAAGGGCACCCACATAGATTCAAGAGACAGGTATCTCAGAATACATATTGTAGAAATCAGGAAGGAAGACATGAGACAAATTTCTGAATGGGCAAGGAATAGAGGTTGGGAGCTCCTGAGTCACCTACAGTTTGCACTAACCCTAGTGTATTTATTATTTACTTATTCAACATAAGTATCATAACTATGAAATCAAAATAAGAAATACTCTTTAATTTACTCTAGGAGTACATGTATTTGAAAATAAAGATAAAGACTTCCAAGTTAAAAAAGGTAAAAACAAACATTTAAAATATATTTCCAAGACATTTTATTCCAAGATATCCCTTGCCAATGTACCTCCAATAGCCTTTTTAAAAAATAATTTCCATATTCTACTTACATCATCTTGCAAATCCTCTTTGTAGACCAGTTAGAGGGATGAGGGTTCAGTTAGCTCTAATAAACTTTTAGGAAGACATCTTGTGATTAACTAATGTGAAAAACTTATCCACTAAGATATAAAAACAACTCCATTTTCTGCCTGCATGTTATGCATTTTGTTATACAGTTATGTGCATTTTGAGATCACATTTAGTAAGTACACAAATTGAAAAGAAGTTTTTTACCCCCCACTTTGTCTCCTGCTTTATTCTAGAGAAGAAAGTTCTTGCATAAGTTCCTCCTTTTCTTGCTGTAGCTCCTGCAAATGTTGTTGGTTCTGCTCCAATCTGTCCTCCAACCACTGCAGAAGAGGCCCGCTGACTGCTGACATCTGACTGCACAGATTTTTGGTAAACACTTCAATAGGAAAAAATCATAGATAAGATTAACTGTGGAAAAGTGCTGTCCACTAGCATGTTCCCATTTCACCAACAGCCTCACCATGAGCACAGGCAGAAGGGGTTGGAGGAGGAAATGCAAAAAATGTAATAAATAGGACTGGCAAACAACTTTCTATGCCCAGTCATAGTAAAGACATAGAGCTGAGCAAAGAAGATACTTATTCGAAGGCCATTATGAACACCCCTGGAACCATAATCCAGAGAGAAACCCAGCTCTACAGAGAGCAGAAAGATATCCAGCTCTGTACTTTTTTTTGTTTGTTTTATAGGTTTTTTTTTTTTTTTTTTTTTTTGCAGCTCTGTACTTTATTAGGCTCTTACCCCTTTTG